CTTGTACCTGCCAGTATCTGTGTCTCGTAGCGGCGAAGGTGTTGTACTTTGGAGTTGGAGGTGGGGCGTCAGAGTTTACAAAACTCATCGAAACACCCGCGAATACAACCGGCCGCTCACGGGGCAAAGTCGAGACAGTTTTGGAGCGAAAGGTTGGGGTAGGAAGAAAGGTTATGAGTGTCCAGTGGGCGTAACATACCCTATATACTCACCAGTTTGTCAACGGCCACCATGTCTACCACATCCGTTTACAACGAGCGCGATTTCGAAGCGAAAACGACGAAACAACTAGCTCAGTTTTACATTCTGGGTCAAACTGCCCTCCACATATTCCAATCTCGTTTTGATCCTGAGACGCTCCAGAACCACAATGCCCGATTGCCTCACTACACGATGGCAGAACAAACATGGCACCAACATCCTGAGGTAAACCCGGTCGACTATCCGGTGTCACTCACTTCACAAGCGGTCGCTGGCTTTTACAAGAAATGCACTGACCTGCTGGAGAAGGCCGGAGAAGAATCTACTGCGATCCAGTGAGTAGTACGTTTTGATATTTTCAAGTTATGATCTTCCTGACTTTGCCCTGCCAGGCTCATCTAGCAACGGTGCACAATTCATACACACAATAACAGCAGATCATGATAGAGGGATGTCGAGTCGCATTGCTCGAGCGGCGGCAAAGTTGGCGTAAGTTTTTCAGACTTACAAAATTTCTGATCTTCAAGTTTCGGTACTCTATAGTGAGGAGACCTTGAAAGCTTCACAAATGCAAACGGCCATCACCCAAGACGCGAATCGCAAGGTTTGTCTTGGGGACAGACTTCGGTTTCGAGATAACAACGGGATCATCCACACTGTCTACATTAAAGACAAAGGTTCAACTCAATTGAGAGGACAATTCTACATTGTCACCACCATCCTTGACCGCGAAGCTGATGATGGCAACAAGGACTGGGAAGTCTCAGCTGAGGAAATGGCGGACTGGGTTCTCGCGGCGTGTTAATGTACTTCCAATGTACTTCAGTACACCGCCAAACGGCCTGACGGTGGAAAGTTGTAATTTAGCTGACAGTGATTTTGATAGAACAGTTTAGTGAATTTCAGCAGCCCGACAAGGCTGTGATGTTCAGTACCCTGGGACAAAAGTGAAAGTCAGAGGCTCTGGCTTCCTGGATAAGCAAGGTTTTGAGCTCTTATAAAATGCACAAATTTGGGGAGGGAATAAATGGTGAGATCTGGTCAATTGCGTTGCCATTGAGATAACATATAATACAAAAAATGCCTTCTATAACTTCTTCCCCATGTACAACTTGTTATATTTCGTCTCTGCTTGTTTGGAGGTCAAGGTAAGTGCATTTTTCGTAGCCTTCCCCATGGCTTCAAACTCTTCGTTAAAGCTCGAGAACTCAATCAACGACTTTTTCGATTCGAGATCCAGGATCGTCGGCGCTCACTCGTGAAGAGAAAGATAAGGCTGAAATCCGCGTATGCTAAAGCGAACAGCAGAGTATTCTTTAGTTTTTTGAAATGCAGGCCACTCGGTCTGGCCCTTTTCAGCTTCACACTTCGTGACATCAACATGTCCTTGAGTGCCCTGGAAGCAGGACGTGGTGCCGAGATCCATGAGGATGGCCATGTACTCTGGCTTCCAGCGCTCCGTCTTGTCCTTGAGAAATGGGCAAGTAATTGTCTTAACCAAATTCAAACTTGCAGGCGAAATCCGGTTTTTAATCTGCACCGGAACCAAAACAAACTTCTTCAAGTCAAAAGGCTTCGATAGCTCGCCGCGATAACCGATGAGGAGGTTGTCAATGACGGGCTGGCCATTTACACATTGCAATGCCAGACCTCGCCGCCAGCACAAAAGAATAAACTCATAGGAAAAGTAGGATCCTATGAAGTCCTCGAGTTGGACGAAATGGGTGAAGTTCATATAAACTTCTGACGCCCATTCCAAGCCAGACTTATAAGCATCATTGACCACGGTGAGCGAGCTTATATCCACCAGCTGGGAGAGGTAGGACTTCAAGAGAAACGGTCGTACAGCATAGCGGAATTGGCTGTGTGGCAAGTAGGGCAGCGGAGATATGTGGCGTCGCACGGGGTCAACAACACAGATTTGACCCCCTGCCGCGTGGACAGTGGCATCCCGATTAACGATGAGGATGATCCTGGCGTATGTTTCCCCATTTTCGCCTACAGCAATGACTTTCTTGTGCAAAAGAAGTTGCTTGACGAGGATGTTTATGGCACGTTGGTAGATTTCCTTATTTCTAAGGAGGAGGTCGCCAGCAGCTACAGCCAAAATAGGCTCAGACAGGACCTCGGACTTTAACATGCGTGTTGACGCGTTGTAGTCCGTGAGAACGCGCAAATGGCCCCTTACGGAGTCGACGGCCATCTGGGACGCAGCGCCTGCGGCAGTGAGATTGAGGATGAACCGTGTCGAATGCACCGCTAGAACCTGTAAATTGCGCTTGTCGGGGTTGCTGCTGGGAAAATCCTGAGGATCATCGCCGAGCAATTTCTTCTGAACTGCATGGATGATCTCATGGTCACTGTACGTCGACCACAACTACAATACAAAGTCAAAGATCAAAACGGTCCCTCGTCAAAGAATTCAGGATTACACACCGGTCGACCGTAGACCCGAAGACG